ATGAACCGCTCAATAAAATTCAATGTGCCGACATTTGGGCTTTGGTTACCAGTCACCGATTTGCAAATCCTAACCCCTGTCCGAAAAGTCCCTAAGATACCTCTGTGAGGTGTCATGGTGATAACTAGGTATCCCCTCTTTGCCCGGAGGTAAGCCTCTCTCCGCGTAACTGGACATCACATCGATTGCGCGGATGTAATGCGGGCCGGTTGCGGATTGTATGAGAACTTTCCCTGATTGATGAGAATACCAACCAATCCGGACCGAGTTCTGGGTCTTCCGACCCAACGCAGACATTCCGGCATAACCTTGTGAAAAGCAAAGGGTAAACTTATAACCACAGTTGCACTAATACTCTGTCATCGCCATAAAAGACCAACGGCCAACACCTTCCGCAAGATACATCACTCCGTATTCAATGCTGTTTACCATTGAGTATGTGATAATCATGTAGTTGATGCATTCCAGTCTGCACTGATTCTTTCCTTCTATGAACTGGTTAGAATGATTCTTGCATTTCCTGGTTCAAATACCGAATGACTTCGACATTTGGGCTTTACTGAGGAGTAAATGTCCGAAAACCGTTTCATTGAAACATTTTGTAGGAATTAGAAAACTGGCTCAGGCGGGCTTTGAGGATCTGCTCCCTGTCTCAAGTTGTGTTTAAACATTTCTCCCCCATTGTCGTGTACTCAAGTGGCGTATAATTTAACAAGTCTTAACTGATGGTAGCCAGTCGATCAATCAATCTGAACATTCGGTATCCCCTTCCTCTTGTTGCCCATCATCGTTGCATTCATTAACATCATCGGCGTCGTCGTCATTACTGTTTTCAACACCAGAAATACCAAACAACGACCGAATGTTTTCATAAATAAGACTACTCACAAGGTTGCTGAAAACTCCTGGACTGCGTACGACCGGTTTCGCCCTTCTTGGGGCTCATCAGGTGGTTTCCGTCAACCTTATGATCTACTTGAACCCAAATTGGACTGTTTCGAGAAATACACTCATTTGCAAATCAATCTGGTTTTCACGAGAGACTCAACGAGAGATTCAGTACCAACTGAAACATGAAGCGGCCTGTGTGCAGCACATTCAGTTGTAGAATATCATAAACGATTGATTTGCAAATGCGTGAATTTATCGAACGGCGAAATATGTTGAATTCGCATACCAGTGTCCTAGAAAACAGTTGAATGGAATCAAGCACAAAGATGGACAGATGACAAAAAGACAGATCCCTTGCTTTGGCTTGCAATCTTTACTACAAGAAGCATCCCAGTATGAATTGTACCTGGATTAAAAACTCATATCATTTAGCATTACTGCACGTCCGTTTTACTTGGTGTCCAGCTGGATCAGTTTAGCCTGGATCTGGAACAGGAGTAGAATAGAACGTTGGGATTCATCTGATCTGACTGGAGCTGTTGGTGGCATGACTGCGAATGAGACGTTTCTCTCTTTTCTCCCATATTCTCCTGTTACGCTTTCGCTTTTGTCGCTTGCATTCACTTTTTGTTTGTGACCATGCTCTTCAAAAAATAAATGATAATAGAATAGAATGGAATAAAATAAAATAATCACTGATCGGTTGCTTTTTATGGTGGTTTATTGCACTGTTTCTCTGACTGCGTGGGTTATCTTTGGGTCAGATGTTATCCGTCAGTTTCGGCCATTCTAAACCAATCTGTATCAGGCAATGACGACCGAAGTCAAGTAACCCACAAAGAATTAGCAAATAGAACAGGTAAACGATTTTGGCATTGGGTTACTCTAGAACATTATGAGAAATAAAAGAGACTAATGGCAGTGAATAAGTGAGGCAATGTTGTGGCATTGAACAGCTAGGTAGAACTAAAAACTCCGGCTTTGGTAGACGATGTGTGAGTGGAACCAAACAGCCTATGCTTAATAAGCAAGTATAAGAAGAATAGAGGAAGACTGGATGGCTGAAAGCGAGCTACTTGTAAGTAGTTTATAAAAACTCAAGTTTCACATCGGCTGATTGTGAGAGGAACCAACGTACGCTTTAAAATTTGTTACACTAAAACGAATCGAGCAGCTAAACTATGGAGGGTGGATTTGCTGGCTGAGGATCCACGGTAAATGCGCACTGGATTGGTGAGGGGCGATCATCCATAACTGGGACGGAAGCGTAGGCAACCTAAAGTCGCAGATAGTTGCCGGATTAGTAAGAGGTCTGTTCGAACAGTGCCTTTCGTGCCCTGGTTCAATTATCCTTGTGAATCCTGGAGGAACACGGCACTCGTGTCTCTCTAGAGCTCATCAGCATTCCTCATTTTCGGCTGTGCCAGGGTTTGAACTCCTGGCATCTGACATGCGAGGTGAGAGCGTCTCCACTACTCCACTAGGACAGACTGGAGGCACCTGAAATATCACATCTGAACAGACGAACGTGTTCACGGTTGGGCGAACTAAAGACAGGATGCCCCGTGACAACTGACAGCAGGCATAACCTTTAGATAGGTAAGTTGAGGAAACGAATCAAACCACCGCACTTAAGTGGATGCTTTTGGTAGCTGAACTCCGGCTTTGAGACTGATAGTAGTTCGCAATCCATCAATGGGGTCACTGTGGCATTTGTCGTCAGGGTCTGACAGCGACGCATATCTCAGATAGCTTTCTATTGATCGATCGGTCTGTTGGGGGTGTGCAAAGGCAGTCAGAGCCAAAATGTTGACAAATCACCTGGCTAATGAGAATGGATTGATGGACACTCTGATTTATGTCCAGAAAGTAACTGTAGCCGGAGTGTTTTCAAATTTATAACCCCACATTGATGTTTATTTAGTAATTTTCCCCTAGTTTAGTTATTAGAGGGATTCCGCAAACACCAGTATTCGTCATTCCGTGCTCATAGTTATTTTCGCCCACTGCCCACGAAAAGTTGCTCCGAAATTAATTCCGGCCGTAGCTGGAGATCAGTGTGAAAATATTTAGCTGGACCAGCTCGCAGCAAACTTTCTCTCCCTAGCATACAAGCGAGATTTCTCCCGCCTCTGAAGGTACACTACATGAAACGAGTTCGTTCATCATTCGTTCGTTCATTGTGATGTTGACCTCCAGGAATGGGGTTACACTATCATCTCGTGTCATCGGGGAAATACCTGCAAGATCTCACTTGGGATCCAGAAATCATTGTTCAAGAAACCTGAATACATGCATCGTCATCGGTTATATGCACAACCCTCCAATGTTAGGAGCAAAAGGCTGTTCTGTGATTGGCATCCCTGGTTAACACATGACAAGTTCATGTGCCGCTGGTCAGAAACCGACTGCAATGGTGTTGTGAAAATAACGGTTGCATTGTCAAAAAGAGAACGAGATACACGGTGACTGGAGTCAAACAGATAAGCTTTTGAGATGGAAATGTTGATTAGGCGCGAGTTTTTTTATGGAAGCAGAGTTGCAAGTCGTACAGAGGGATTCCGATTGCCAGAGTGATCCGCAATAGACTTTGTTGAAGAACCTGTGTCCAACTGTGTTCAGCATTTTAGTTTCCGTCACATGTGGTACACTCTTTACGCCATCTTCCACTGCCGTCCTGTAAATCATACATGACTTGTCCATCGTGACTCCGTCGCATTCTCAGAACCGGGGCATTGCGCCCAGTTTTCCGAGCATCCAGACAGCGCGCCAACACGCCAATTTGCTCACATCGTTGCGTGGGAAGCAATAGGCGCCGTTCTCTCGTTGGGTTTGTCGGCGTGCGACGGGTAAGGCAGAACAGGAGTCTAGGTTATCTATCTCTCGGGCACAACAGCGCACCGGTGCACCTAAGTAGTATGATGAGGGAGGCTAGTTGCACTCGACCATATCCAATATAGACAAATCGATCTAACTGGAACAAATGGAATGCTGATCTAGCGGTAAAGGCGAATGCGGTGCAAGTTGACCAATCGATAGCTATCGTAGATTTTCATTTGCTAAACCTGACAAGCGGTCTGAGTGAAGCAACTGCTGATTGGTCGACGCAACACCAAAATTTGGCGGCCTTAATTTGACGAAATATTGATTTCTTTTGTTGAATTCTAAGAGGACCATGGTAATGCAGCTTGCCGACTAAAATCAAATGTAGAGAATCTACCCGTGTAAGCTTTTGCATCGCTATCAGGACATGCTCATAAAAGCAGACATCACATTTTGATTGCAGCTCATATCTGACTTGCTTCCGGGGAGGAGCTTCACATTTAGGCAGTCAGCAGCCTTGTTTGTTGCCATTGGACAAGGTGCGCTAGCGCTTTATACCACTTACATTGAACAGAACTTTGTCAAGATAGTCTGTCTCTGTTATCTGAACCTGATATCCATTTGGTATGAGGACTAAAGAGGAAAGCCTAATTAAAAATTTCAAGGTTGATCGTGACCACACGAAGTTGGAGCTTTTCAGTATGTTTGTCTTTTGTAGAGCCTGGAAGGACATAAGTGAATCATCAATCAATCGGAAAGTCCAGAAGCGACTGAGAAGCAGTAGTTACAGGACTTTTCTCTAAACAATTGGTGGTTTCACATCTGGACAACTATCCGCTTTCGACACAAAAGCTCCGTCAGGCTAAGAGAGCTGGTCGTCAAATTTAGTTGGGTTTTAAGGCAAGCGTGAACTAGTCAGCAAGGTCTCATCCGGTTAGCACACCAGATCAGCGTTGAATTCGCGGGTAAAGGTCTTGTCAATAAGTATGAATGCCTAATTCTTAGGATGATGTGTTCGGGAGATTTCAAATCATTTTTTATCGGACTAGTGTTCTTGATCTTCCGGCACACGATGCCTAGATCGATCATTCGTCTCGGGTGCCAATGGTAAATTTTGTCGGTCTGTATCTGTTTGTAACCGCTAAAACAGTTTGGTTGGGTGGTGGGGCGGAGAATAGTGGGATAACGTGGAATATTCTGTCAGCTTGTTTCTTTAGCCCTTCAGATCTAAGTTATTTCCGTTAAGTGATTTCTCTTCGTTGATAACACCACACCACCTTGTTGTCACTGCTACTGAACTAAAACGGTTCTCCAAACGCTGGCCACCTATACTCCTATTTTATTCTAATCGCATCGGGACGCTTTCTATTGCCTCGGCCATCAGTGTCTGTGGCGTGAATCGAGGACCCGTCCCAAGAATTCAACACAACCTAGCGAAATGTACTCATTTGCAAACTAATTTGGTTTTTCGAGAGACTCACCTGGAACTCAGCTAAATCCCTCGTTTGTGGTGTTTCCAGGCAACTGAATGTGCTGCACCAGACCGCTTCATGTTCCAGTCGCTACGATATTTGAGATGCCGCGATACACGTATATGGTTGTAATGCACTACTCATAAGCTGCTGAAAATTCGTCGACAGCCCACGACCGGTTTCCCCCTTTTTGGGGCTCATTAGGTAGGCGCAGTCCCCGAGTTTCCGTCAACCTTATGCTCTACTTGAGACTATAACCTATGTGTATTTGGTGCCCCGTCTCCCACCAGTACTGTCTTCCAGTAACGATATTCATCGACGTTTCCCAGTGGCCTGTTTGTTTTATTCTCGGGTAAAGTCCTCTGGTCGTCTGTCCTGTATGGACCTAGGTGCGATCGTTACATTTGATGTTGTAGGCGTAGACCCTGGTTCTGCTCGCCCGGAGGCGGTCCTCTCAGTGCAAAGGACAGAATTGTTCCCTTCTCTTATGTTAGTTGTGTTGGGAATCTTTCGAAGGACTTAGATATTCCTGGTTTTTATGAGGCAACGAAAGTCCAAAGTTATTCCCTGTTGGGTTTCGTCGCGGATACCACGAACCTCCCTAAGTGATGCCTGATCAAACTGGCCGGATATCCGCTCCTTCGAAGTCTGTTCTCTCCGACAGCTTGAGTCACTGTCCAGTCACTGTCCACTGGAAAGAAGGTGCCTTAATCGACCTTAATCGACTTAAGGTCGACTTAATATGGAGAGGTAAATAGTTCAAAATGGCCCACTATCCGTTGCCTTTTGATACGCAGTGGTTTTTACTTCCCTACCGAGCGTTTTTGTCCAAACAATGCGGTTTGCCCGAAGATTACTCTATCTCCACACCAACTTTGATTAAACTGAGTCTGAATCGTTTACAAATTAGCTAGTTCACTCCCTGAAATCATTTACTAACCCGTGTCTTAACCTAAACAAATTTAGATAACAAACGAGAAGATTACTCACTCGGTTTAAGTCAGCTGTTCGCTGGGTTGACAGACCCTAGTTAAACTTTTATGTTTGTCCATCCGAATCTCATGTAAAACATGATACCAGAACAGTGAATTATGGATCTTTTCTTGGTCCACCAGTTACTTGTTCAGCCATTAAAAGTGCAACAATGTACACAATACGGTTCGGTCAAATAAGGATTAGGATATTGAGGAAGGAACAGTCGCACATACAGGGAGTTATTAAGGCCGGAGATTGAGTTAGATAGAGAGGGTCCGAGGATGCAGTGGAACGCCAAGGAAAATTTTCTAATTAGGCTTTCTATCCAGCTTCCTAACCTCGGTAATAAGATGATAGCTGACAGCTGACACCCGTTTCACCCAACTTTGTCTTCAGAAACGACCACTTTATGTATGTCACTGCTGCAGGATCTCGATTCCCGGGGACGAAACTGTTGCACGGGGAAGTATTATATGACGGTACACTATTCATGGTTTATGAGCTATCTGACTGATCAAGAAGAGACCACTAGTACACTGTCCGGGTATTAGGCTCAGGGTAAAAGTAAGACCAATCATTGACCGAGAATAAATAAAGCGACTTTGACTACCCTAGCCGAGGAACATTCTCATCTTTATTTCAGTGAGCTTACATCCCGACACATTAAATTTTAATCCAGACAGTGGATGGGCCTGCCTGTCTGACACAAAAAAAAGCAAAAGTACGGATACCCTAATTGTGCTTGTCCTCTTCGTGAGACAGAGTAACATCGACTACAGTCGATCAATTCACATCAACTTATGGGGTAAGTTCAGGTGGCGCCACAAAAGCTCGCACAAAAGCTGGAGAAGGACTTTTTTTTACTTTTTATTCTTCCAGAAAATTGCGTTATTATTCGTCGGAAAAAATCAGTAATTTGTAAATAATACGCCCAGCAAATTTGGGTGTTGGCAATTCCCATTATTAATTTGACTTAATACTCTACTTGCTGAAAAATCTTCGACAGTCCACGACCGGTTTCGCCTTTATTGGCTTTCAGGTGAGTCTTCCAAAGACCAGATTTGTTTACACATGAGTGTATTTTGCTAATTATTGATTACTTTAAAAGTTAGCTAATTGCATTTGATTTTTATGGGGAACCTGAAACGATGTTTTTTGTCTAATTTTTACCGGTGCTTGCTGCAAGTTAATAAACCATATCCCCTCTCGGATACTGTAATCAGCAATGTTGTTTGACACAGGTCACTTTGAAGTATTGCTTCAGGCAAACCTTCCGTGCCACCGGTACCAAAGGGAAGGCGAACAGTTCACCGTCACGTCCTGACTGCACAAGATGACTCCGATATGTCTCGATTGTTCGGTTGGCGACTTTGCGGCGGTTTTTCCAATTGCGTCTCCCCCTCCGCCATTACCGCCAAGTCAGTAGTCCGTTTGTTCTAGCTCAATTCATCTGTTCATCTTTTATCCCTGTGATGATCGGGTGAACTTCTGATCAGGTGCCCCAATTGCACGGGTGCGTTGTCATACCCGAGGAATCGGATGAGTGGGCTAATGACCTCCGCTTGTCTGTCTTACTTCCACAACCCAAAAAAGAGTATGGTTTTTGATGTTTCGCAAGAAATGATGTGTGCAAGAAACACGTGGGCGCCGATAACATGATCGGAAACCTGACCCAAGTGCTCGGGGTTTGAAGGTGAGGCGGAGTTGTAGAGTTTCAGGAAGTGAATCGAAAGAGCTGCAGTTTATTGAGCAACCGATTCACGCAGCTGATTCTGTCCACAAAAATACGACAAAATTTCTGACGATACGGATTTATTAATAAAGTTGATAGATGAAGTTTTAGCAAACGAACACCCCTTTCTGAAGTAAGATTCATGGAGCAAGAAACTTATTCTTGCTTCGTTGTTTCAAGAAGATAATCAGGGTGTGGAAGCGAAATTTTCACTTTATACGTGTTTTGTAGACTTGTTGAGGAATGGAGCTTCTGATTGGGTTGAACTTGTAGCTACCCGGTCACCCACATACTTGACCGTTCAGCTCACAGCCGCTCACTGGATCATGAGACTTGTCTTTTTTTCATGCTCACAAACACGTCACGCATCGGACACCGATTTTCTGTACCGTCTAGTGAGCGTAGCAACAACTCATGTGCTGACACTCACGTACACGCAAACTGACCTGCATATAGGGAAACCGAACACAGTCAGCACACGCAGACTCGCGTGCGCGCAGGGAGCAGGAAATCAACCACTCCCCACAAGTACACGGACAACTATGCAACACGTGTAGCAGTCTAACTGCGGAGAAAACACCTTCCCACCTTCCGGACTTTCGTCAAGGAACTCACACAGACGATAAGTTCCTCCTTTGACTTGCTCCCATTTTCGCATCGTATTTATTTTTATACCTGTCACAACCCACCACTGTCCACCATACTAACTTTTATTAGTGCATACACCTTCTGATTTGTATTATGGCTATCATCACCGATGCACCAATAAACTCCGTTTCTGAACTTCCACATAGCCATCAGATCCTCCTTAGCCTAAGCTGGAATGTTATGTATATTCCGGTCAGCTGAATTAACCGCCATTATCAATGAATCTGGGAAAGAAGAGTCTTTCAAAACTCAGTAATTTACGAAAAAAAAACACCGTGCATCTCCAAAGACATTGCTGTAGGTAGACAGCAAACTATTTCGGCTTTTCAGGATGCATGTTGTTAATCCAAATACCTTGATGACAAATGGTTGAAAATGGGCGTATCAACAACCCCAGTTCGGAGAAGAACATAGCCACTAGCTTACTTGCAAGATGCGAGCAATTCAGTTATTTCATGCTATGCAATCATGGGTATGTGGCGCAGACGAAGGAGAATCCCACCGGACCACGTGTTTTGAATTCGTGATGTGGCCAGTTGCAGAGTAAGGGGAATAAGTATGGGTGCCGAATGAGTGTATGCTCCGTTGTTTTAGAAAGTCATTTCGATTCCCCGCTACCATTGTAATGGTGATACTACTGATGGGGGAAGCATGCGAGTAGTATGTTTCCTCTCAAATCCGCTTTGCGTCTTTCAAAAATTGAGGTATATTAGGGAATTTGTGGAGTCGCTTTATGGCATTCGCTTGGATTTGCACAACAGTCAGTGAATATCCAGGAAAGTTCAGGAAGACGCGTCCAAAGAGAGGATGGTATTCAGTTTTTGTAAACAAGATGCATATGAGAGTATTGCTTCCCCTGTCCACTGGTCTGTAACTGTTCAGTTGGCATTTTCTAATAAATAACTCCGTAGCAAAGACCTTCTCTCTTTCACCATGAACGACTGCCTTGCAGAGGATACCACTCAGCACTTCTGATTTCGTGTTTTCACTACACCCGTATAACTGCTAGATAATAGGAAAGGTTAAATTGGGAAATTTGTCGTTTATCTAATAAATGCTGATTTTCCTACCTCATATCTCAGGACCGGAAGCACCCCAATGCCGCACTATATCCTCCCATGATGATACCATAGACTCGGGAGAGCCATCTTAGATTCCAAAGGTTTGCCACCCGATCCAGAATGGTTCATACAAGAAGAAGACAATAGAATTTACAGTCTAGATTAACGCATGAGCAGAAAGCCGTAAATCACAAGAAACATTATCGAACGGTAGCTAAAAAGCGGCATACACATGACACTATTGAAAATTAAGGTTGATTCATTTTGTCTCAACTGATTTGGTAGTAGTGAAACACAAACAATTAGGTTTTGACCAGAGACTACCTGGCACTCAGCTGAATCCCTCGTTTATGATGTTCTTCTAAGCAACTGAATATGCTACACCAGGCCGCCTCATGCTTTAGTTGATACGATACTCGAGATATCGCGATACATGGATAGACGTAATACACTACTCATAAGGTTGCTGAAAATTCTTCGACAGCCCACGACCAGTTTCGCCCATCTTGGAGCTCATCAGGTAGGCACAGTTCCCGGTTTTCCGTCAGCCTTATGTTCCACTTGAAACCAAATTGGACTAAATTAACCCACAGCCGGTTTTGTCCTTCTTGGGGATCGTCGAGTAACCTAACAGGGATGAACAGTTTACGTACGACAGATCACGGTTTTCATTCTATTGGTTGAGGTTTCTCGTAATTAAACGGTTATGATTAATTAGGTTCGTGCGATAAGGAAATAAAGTACTTATTGGTATTTTAAGTCAGTAAACCTTTTTGTTTAACTAGATGTGTCTGGAAGCGAAAGGCGACATACAGCACGCATCGATATCTATGAGACATTGATATTCGTAACTCTAACTTCGGAACTTCCTGGTACAAAGATTTTGATCTCCGGTATTGATCTTCGGAGAATCATATCTTCAAATTCGGCACGAAGTACACTGTGATAGTCCTACTTTGTCGGCTTCGACATTAGTTCTCAAAACTTACCAATCGGTAAACTAAACTTTGTGTACTCCGCGAATTGGCAATGTCGAATAATTGAAAGGTGGTGATCACATTCGAATGAGACCTAACCCGCGGTACGATTTACTTTTTTTTTTTTAACATATGTGCCCAATCTGTCTACGATACCCTGTTTGCCACAAGGTCCTCGGCGGAAAACGCACCCCCATGAAAACAACGGAACAAAGAAGTTTTAATACACGGTTTTATTGGACAGACAAGCAAAATTCATGGAGCTGAATGTTGATAAAGAAACTTTTCCGCATGGTCTGGAACTACCAATGAAGCACTATCATCAGATCCCCTTTAGTTCGTTGGCCAACAGTGTTGCTTTGATTGCCAGTACCGGAGCGACACGACAAGAAAAGAACTAACAAGCAAACAAGAAAGTAAATCCTATCTAAGAAACTTGACGATTTCATTACTGAGCGCATAATCTGTCGACTTTCTTTAGTCGAATAGCTTGCTGAACTGGTCAGACGCCAGACACAGGAATCGCGACCGATTGAAGCTGTATCCAAACAGATGTTGTGCAGGTATATCAGATAGTGGTCTCACTGCGACCAGCCAAGGGTTTCACCATCACCCAGTGTTTCCGTTGAATTATAAACACCACAAGAATTTACGCTCGAGGACAACACGACGGTATGCTCCTTACGGTGCACGAAGACTGTGTGAAAGGTGGCGAACGTTCGTGTCTTTGATTGCTCATTTCCCCCCGTGGCAAGTGTGAAAATTCTTCCCATCAAGTCTGTGCCCAACTGCGAATGAACAAGAAAATAGGCTTATATTGACCTCATTGCACTGTGAAGCTATTACGTGTCACGAATCGTACCTTACTAGTATGCTGAGTCCGTCTGGATCATAGCATTTCAAATATCATTGATAAGTTGGGAACAGCCATAATACGATCCTAAAAATCGCACACAAGATGGCTAACTTGTCAGTTACAACACGTACGCCATTAATGGTAGCATCAAGTGCAAATTTAACCAACGATAATCAGGGATCTCCTTCGTGGAACCGAAAACAACCGGGACGAATGTGTCCAGCGTACGCTCGTCAGACTGGTACAAGTGATCTGTGTGTCACGTGTTAGACCTAGGGATAACCGCGCGAGCATCCCGATGAGGTGCACACATATATGAACGAAGATTCCCAAAACCGATTATAATCGCGAACGCTTGCCATCCAGCTGGCTTCCGCTTGTCTGCATGTGGACACTATGAATGCGCACCTGATGGCGTTCTGAATAGCCACCGCATTTTTGCAAATACTTTACAGTAAACTAACTCTTGCTTAAGTGAGGAAATTAGGGAATAACAAACATGGCATTACTCACAGAACAACAGTCAAGACTGGGGAAAAACTCAAGCATCCGTCCTGTCATCACGCACCCTGAAGGTGCAGCTGTTCCGACAAGCAAATGAAGTGCCTACTGCCGCACTTTAGAGATGTCCAGATGCATCTAAAAGGTTTTCACGAGGTTCGTGGAATGCGGCGTTGTCGGATCAGTAACTAAGAAGCGGACGACTCGCAGTACCATCAGACTCTGTCTGTGAATAGGATATCAATGCAGACGAAAGTTAGCAAGCATACCAGATGACGAGACACACAACGAGGAGACGACCAGGAAGATAGGAATTTGCTTACATGCACGACGGGTATCACCACCGCCCGATCTATGGCACAAGCAACAAACACAAGGGGACCCGCCTGATTTGTGAAGCCCTGTCCACTGTTAGTTCTCCACGGTCCGGCCCTCCCCAGCTTGGCCAATACATCGCCAGGACATTCGCCCAACAGGGGTGACTGGAAATTAGGGCGGTTCTCTTGCCCACCAGGTGTGGCCAACCATGCTGAGTCAGCGATCGTGCGATTCTGAGATCATGCGCGACATAGACGCCTACCTGAAGGTATCCTCACATTTATCTAACTGATTGTGACCTGTCCAGCTTCTGGACCAGCCCGGCTGAGAACCCTCAATGTGCTTCGGAGTTCATAGGATCAAATATTGTGCTAGAATTCACAGGAACTCCAGACTACAACACATTCGTCTAAGTAGGTGCGCTCGGGTGGGGGGCGTGCGGATACAACAACTAGAGTGTGTGTGTGTGTGTGCAGGACATCTAGTGAACCACTATCACAAACGAGATATTCTGCTAAGATTTTTTTGTGTCACCCGTGGATGCCAGTCTCTTTGAAGAGAATTTAGCAACCTTGGAATGTATCCCGATATCTCTTTTATATCGTGTCAGTACAGCAATTGCGGTTAGTCTCCCGAGAACAAGCACTAGCTCGTATGCAAATCAGTGTATTTATTGAGGAATAACAGATAAGACTTGCTCCGTTTCATTCCCACTTCCGTCAATCTACTAAATATACTACTAACCAACCACATTTGCGCCTACACTTACGTTCTGTTTGCTTTGGCTGAATAGGTTTCAGTCAGTTTATCGAATTTTAACCTCACAGCTTCATTACAAGTGACAAGCCCCGATGTGGGTAGACAAAGAAACGAGATCGGAGGGAGATATTCTGAGAAGCACTCCTTTGGCATACGGTGAAGAATAACTGCAACAGAGCAGCCACTGTGCACTCCAACTGGGTCTTCGCAAGTTAAAATGGTTTAAAATGAGTCAAATATCAGAGTTTAATTAAGTGACGTCATCAGCTTTTTGTCATTATCGAAGTGACAAATCCTGATGAGGAAGAAAAATGCTGTCTTTCATGAAGGACGATTACCGTCAGAGGTGCTTCCGTGTCGAAAAACTGGAAGTGTAAACAGTTCCAACAGACAAAGGAAAGTGAATGAATGTAGACAATTTATTTTGACGTAGATGTAAGCTAAGGACTATCCGGCAACTCAGTTTCAGCAGCAAATGAGAAAGAGACGTTCGTCATGAACCTGTACACAGCTTGATGAGCACTGCAGCGAATTTGCAACATTTTCATGAAAGCAATGCGGTCTATCAAATATCCAATAAGGGAAATTCCAGAAGCTTTAGAATCAATGGTTCCACCTAAAATCTGATGTGGACTATTGCAGGCTATCGGGGCTAGGTGGCGCAAGTGGTTAGAACGCGAATTTACTGACCGGAAGGTCCGTGGTTCGAACCCAACCTCTGCCTCTCAACTTCTCCTGTCCAGGCTTGAGCGACCTGGCAGTATCCCAGCTCTTGTGCAACCTTTGGGTGGCATGGCATTTAGGCACCGAAAGGTGTGCTAAAGCTGAACGATATGAACGATTGCAGGCTATCGCCAAAGTGAATGGGGAAATTTGACCGGAGAATTTGCATTTCTAGTTTTTGGATTTCGACTGATACAATACGGGTAGAATATCCTTTTAGTTTCCGAAGGAACACTCAGTATTGTCCCACCATACCGGTCGCCAGTGATTAAATTAATTTGACGGGGTAGCTGTGTTGTGCTGAATTGGATAATCTAGGAAGGATTCGCCGACTCGTATGAGGTTGCTTCGATCCCGGTTTTCCACCTTCGACAAAGCTTCTACAGGCCTTCAACAATTACATTCATTTGAAAATCAACTTTGTTTTCACTAGAGACCCCACTAAATCTCTTGTTTATGATATTCTCCAACTGAATGTGCTACACACAGGCCACCTCATGTTTCAATTGGCACGATATTCGAGATATCGCAGCATAATTTCATAAAAAAACCACTCACAATGTTGCTGATAATTATTCGACAGCCCACGACCGGTTTTGCTCTTCTCAAGATTCCGATTATGTGATCTAATTGACAAGGTAGTTGTTCTACTACGCACTAAACCTTTATACCTAGATCACCGTTGAGTGAACAGTAATCTTTCTGTCAAGACGACATTTCTGCGAGTGATTCGCATCAAGACGGCATTAGAATGAAATGTGGTTTTTACCATAGTTCATCAGTAGTGCCTGCTGTTCACTAGATTCTGAACTCCAGATATTTAGCATGCGAAGCCAGCACGCTGTTGCTATGCGAACAGTACACGCATGATGCAACTGACCATGATGAACAGACGAGTTTCCACGCTTGAATAGTTACCGTTCGGTCCGCTCGGTTCGCCGGACACGTCAAAAACACAATGGCTTTTCCGGTTGTGTCGATCATCTGACTTCCAGAGAGCACCACAGGCGCTTGAACTCTGCCCGAATAACTGGATCTAGTATTGGGAATCTCCAGGCAAACTGGTCTCATTTGAACAGCCATCCATGTCAGAGGCGTCAAAGAGGTGACATTATGGACCGTGTTGCGTACTTCTCAATCTATGACAATAATTAGACTTGAGGTACACGGTTTGAGCCTCTGTGAAGTGGGAAATCCCAGCAGCAGTTGTGTTTAAAAACGTGAATCTTACGGTAGAACTTAGAATGAACAGCTGTCGTTTTCGGCGGGAAATCCTTAAATGCAATCGTGTTGTTGCAATTGTGTTGGCTGCTTCGAAACTACGGACAGTTCGGTGCTGGACTGGCGAAGATAAACGAGCAGAAATCATCAAGTCTTAAGTTGTTTTCGTGAGGAGAAGTGCGAAGTCATGATAATCGTAGGACAAGCCAACTGTTGACTTAGTGTAGCATTAGTGCAAGCTTCCACGGAACCGGATGTGCCGAGTTCCATCACGGCCAAAAACACACTGCATTCGACTGCCTACCGGTGAAAGAAAGAAGGCCTTTGCTCCGGAGTTAACCGTTGGAAAACACCAACTGAACAGATACAGACTATCGGACAAGGAAAAAAAACCCTCATGTGCATCTTGTTCATAAAAACTGAATATCCGTCTTTTCGAACGCGTCTTCTTGAACCATCCTAGATACTCAATGATTATCGCTCAAATGTAAAAAAATGCTACAAATCGATCAAATTCCGTATCCGGAGTTAACCGTTGGAAAACACCAACTGAACAGATACAGACTATCGGACAAGGAAAAAAAACCCTCATGTGCATCTTGTTCATAAAAACTGAATATCCGTCTTTTCGAACGCGTCTTCTTGAACCATCCTAGATACTCAATGATTATCGCTCAAATGTAAAAAAATGCTACAAATCGATCCCACAAATTCCGTAATAAACCTTGGTTTTCAATAGACGTAAAGTGAATTTACGAGAAAACCCACCTGCTACTCGCCCACTCCTTCAGTAGCATTCACGGTTACATCGGTGTGGGAGTTTTTTTCTTCAAATGGTGCACACGATCCATCCAGACAACAGGCAAATAGTGCACAAATTTCAAAAATGACGGTTGAGAGTAAGCAGAGGACAAGGTGCTTACACAACGGCGCACAGGCGATCATGCAGCCAATTGAGATCATCCCTCAAGGTCACCACATACTCAACGTTTTGGTGCGTTCACGGATTGTGAGTCCAGACCATATAGACCCAGTATAGTGAACTAAGCTGTCAACTCAACTCCCGCCTAACAAGGTACTACTTATTACGTGATTCAAACCTTTATGTGGGTGTCAGATACCAGAAAATCTGTGTATCATTAGAATGGGTACTTTTTTGAACCAGCGTTAGGGAAAGGATGTAGTGGAATGGGACTCCTGGGTACGCAACTGAATGTGTCTGCAGCATGACGTGTCACGCATCAATTGCATTTCAAAAGCCTTTTCTAGCCTTGTCCAGAATTTTCGTAACTTCTTGTTACGGAAGAGATCGTACAACAAACCGTGACTGACACAGAGTGCCGATTCGAACTCTAGATGTGTGATTGCTCGTTGGAATGGAACTGTCACAGGAGTGATTAGACCATCGGAAAATGAGATTTGCAAACGAGACTGATCTACATGTGTCCTACAAACCCTGCAACCACCTGCAACTAACGTTAAGCTTGCCAGCACCAGACAGTCTTGACTTTACACCAAAATTCTGGAAATAACTACTTCTATTAACTGTTCGTTTCTGGTTTATCTGGCCAATAAGAATGTGGGAAGATATCTAGACAAGCTAAGCCGAATCTGAAGGGGTTTAGAGAAATCCAGTGGTAGGACCGATTCATGCTTTTCACATAAACTATCGAGTAATACTCAGGTGGCTGGAACTCAGCCACTGACACTTTAATACATGAAATATCGATGGAGATATCGCAAATGGATCGTTGTCTGTACTTCCAGACAGCGGTTGCATATGATCTAGGATCGAGTCCCTTGATTGCATGACGTCTTTCCGCTGAGGTCAAGTTTTTATCACTTTCCGTCTTTCATGAATGCTCAACGGTAGTCGCAGTATAATCCTGACATACTGAATCAAAAATAATTCACCGAACTATAAATCTATCGTTTATTTTTGAAGAGAACGATCACAGACATAAAACGTAAATGTAGGTGATCGATGTGGAATGGTTGCAGGAGAATATTAGATAAGAAAAGGGAAAAGCGTCATGAGGCGGCCTGTGTGCGGCACACTGAGCTGTAGAATATCATAAACGAGAGATTCAGTTGAGTCTCTCCTGAAAACCAAACTGATTTGCAAATGAGTGTATTTCTCGAAAACAGTCCAATTTGGGTTCAAGTAGAACATAAGGTTGACGGAAACTCGGGAACTGCGCCTACCTGATGAACCCCAAGAAGGGTGAAAACGGTCGTGGGTTGTCGATGGATTTTCAGCAACCTTGTGAGTAGTTTCCTTATGAAAATATACCGCGATATCTCGAATATCGTGCCAACTGAATCATGAGGCGTCGTGTGTGCAGCACATTCAGTTGTAGAATATCGTAAACGAGAGATTCAATTGAGTCACTCGTGAAAATCACATTGATTTGAAGATTAGTGTATTTCTGGAAAAGCTTCTCATTCGAAGTCATGCCACCAACAGCTGCAGTCAGACAAGATGAAATCCGACGTATGTTAGAATGTTTGTTAAGGAGACACGCGTGTTAGGACTAACCCCTGAGGAAAGGATAAACAATGCTGAATGCTCTTCAAGGCGCGGTAAGCGCTAGCACAATCAAGACTCGCACATCAGGTACAAAGTGTCCGTCACACTGGGTCTGGTGTGGGATTCAATGGCAAGAATGTACACTCAGCGCCATGCGGCACGCATAAAAGTGTCATATGTACGCAGAGAACCCACAATGACAAGCAAGCACACGTCACTGACTGTGACCTTAGGAAGTCCCAGTCCAGTAAAATGAGGAAAGCAGATAAGAAATGATCATCGATTGGTGGCCCAAAAAGTCGATATCACAGCCGAGTGCAGGTAGGGCTGAGGTTATGGCGAGGGAACCCCATCAGCACCACACTTCTGGTTCTCCTCATTCCGGACTATCACTCCACGTCCATCCAAAAATTTGCATACGCTTACCACAGTTGCTCGGAGCTCCAGAACAGCGATGAAGGACGTCAAAATATGTGCTCTTAACTCCTCGAGGACGGTGTATCCTAGTCGATAGAGACGTTTCGCAAGTTTCATTGCAACCCGATTATGAGGAGCACATCTAGAATCATGCGTCATTCAGCGAATTTGCAAAATATACACCAAACTCTCCGGTTGGGCACAGTTTTCACCTTCTGTAAATTACTCGGTGGTTAAAGTCACTGGGAAATATTTCTCACCAAGGTTTCTCAGGGTCTCTATTAGAAATGGGTGTTTGGTTGGAGCTTATAAAATGAATGACGTAAAGTAAAGTTTCCCTCAGGCATTTGGGCCAACCTCGATCGGCGTACAGGAAAATTGTGACTCAAGTGACCCGTCCACCAATCGTTGTGTCCCACTCGTTGTCCAGTTACTGAAGCCAAATATGCGGTGCGAAAGGGGAAGACGTCCGAAGGCGTATGGTATACGTGATCCGTGCTCGATGTAGCGATATACAACAACGGTAGCTGGTGCGACAAGGTTTTGAATCAGCGATACTGGACAGCTGTCTGTATTTTTACACAAGACAACCAATAATGGGGTTAGTTACCAGCACGCAGCTATAACTGGACTACAAAGGAATCAGTCGCACACAGCTCACCAATCCAACGTAAAAAATACCTTCGTTCGGCTTAAAAACTTTCCTTTTGCGCGTGTCATTTTTGACTTCCGCGTGAGGCAAGCAATTTCAACTCATGAACAATGATCCGAGTTGCCGGGCAGTTCTGTGCATATGAATAAAGCAATAAAGGATCGTTGAGAACTGTGAGCAAATGCGCCATCCAACCAAATGTAGTTCTTAATTTTCGACCAGCACATATGCGTAAGATCCTCGAAAGTACAAAATTATTCACCGCTTAGGTGGCAGCAAGTATAAAAGTCGTTGAGGCATAGTTATTTTTTTCTCCATGACTCGCATGTCGCCAAACGAGGGGTCGCATGATGAAGCATACTGATTCTGCTTTATTTAGAACATTTTAGGTGTGAACGTTTCACGGTAACCGTTTGAAAAAGTTGCACATTGGGGAATCCGGAATTTTAGACGAGTGAACACGCCTACCGGGCACCAGCACATTTTTCTCCCGCATGAAGAGGCGACCACTGTTATTTTTTTGCTTGTTTCGTTCGTTTGCTTGTGTGTGGCGCTGGGAGAAATGTGGTCAGGTAGCCTATTGGTTGCCCGAAATTACGAAAAGCGACGAAACGTTACAGAATGTTTTAAAGTCACGCATGAGTAATATCATAATTCAAAATAATGGCGTTTATCATGACACATTTTCGCGGTGCATGCTCTACAAATGGCCAACTATGGCCAAC